GATGCTTTATTTTGGTAGTGGCAGAAAGGAAAAAAGAGAAGTAATTCATATCTGTGCTCTTTTAACATACTCTGGAAAGTTTTGCTTTATCTGGCCTTGAAATATTTCACAAAAAGTTATAGCACGTTTTCATGAATTTTCATGAGTGTACATCAATGTAGTTTTCACTTCGGGACAACAAAAGTTTCTCAAAGATCGTGGAAGGAGCAGTAGACATTAGTTTAAGGTTTAGCTGACAAAATGTGACTTGAACCCTACAGACTGAACAAGAGATAATAGATCAAAGAGAAACAGTAATTTGTTACTGATTGCTAACTTTGCTGCAGATAAACAACTGAATCACGTGGAAATTTTAACCTCTTGAGATGGATTCTTATATCTTTAACAATACCAAATTTCCTTCTTAGTTCATTGTCTTCTTTCTGTTGCGCTACTCTCTCAGTTCTTCTTTGTGATTCTTCAGATGGGGAAGTAGCCTTCTTGGGGAACTGAAATGAGAAAAAGTAAAACTTTACTGCTTTATTTCTTGAATAATTCTGACTGCAAAGAACACAATTTCAGGAATCACCTGATATAAGAACATTGGTGAATAATTCAGTAATTCCTGTCACTTCAAGACAAGAAAACTAAAGATCAGGATTTCTACCTCAAAAAATAGATTGGAGAAAGTGTTTGTATTATTACAATAAAATGGAAATAATAATAACAATACAGTGAAGCAGAATGAGCTAACTGAAAAATGTCAAGCATTTAAACCTTGCACTCTCCAGATAGATTATTTTTGTGTCTGCCTTGTCAGTTCAGATGGATTTGATCTAATGGCCAAATAAAAATAAAAAAGTTGCTAACAAGAAGAAAGAACGAAAACACAATCTTGACTTTTCAGAAGATAAAATTTGTTTATGTGGTGTTGGTCTTGGCATAGTGCCAGAAACCTGATGCTTGAGGACCTACTCATTCCTATTTCTAGGAATGAATTTTGGAGAGAACTGGCTATTTTGTTCGTACTATATAGCTTATATGTTATTTGCCAGATGTGGAGTGTTTGTGGGAAAATTATAGCTGGGAACTCAGTTTTGCAAAGATAAACTGGGGCTGTGAGGCACATACATGCAGACTGGTGCCTGGAGGAAGGTTGCAATGAGGACAAAACAGGGTAGAAAACAATGTACTCCGCTGGGAGCGTTAGTGGGATAGGGCTTACACTTTACACATTTCTTTAGTTTGCACTGTACTTTAAAAAGGCAGTGGTGAGGAAGCTTGCTGCCAGTGAACATAGAAATTCACTGATGGGTAGAGGAACCTGTAAGGTGGCAAATATCTGATTTTCTGTCCTGATAAAATTTTCCCTTTTCCTTTTATAAAACCCAATAACCAAAAACCTTCAAGACTTTTTCCCAAATTTGCTGGTAAGTTTACTATTGAAAACAAGATAGCTTGTCAGATTTATTATGCTGTGCTAAAGAGATGATGAATAGAAAGAAATAACAAATACAAAACAAATCTGTCAATACAAAACAAATCTGTCAATTTATGCTTGCTGAATAAAGTACCCAAACTCTGTACTCAATGCTACTTCCAATCTTCCTATTAACTTTGCTTTCATAAAATGAGAGCATACCAGTGGGATGTATCCCCATCTGCACACAGCTAGCAGCTGTGTAGTGCTTGGCTTTCAGTAGGCACATTCAGAATACAATGCATGTCCTATTCTTGTACTCTAGTTTCATAAGAAAACTCGAAAACAGTACAAACAACATATCAGGCTAAGGTTTAAACCCTAAGAATTCTATTTTCTGCTAAGGTAGTATGCCAAAAGTTTATATTATTTTCTGTATTAGGCTGTTTAAAGTAAAATTAAAGACTGAGTTCTCAGTCATTTGAATAGTGTTGGATTCCAGAGCAAAAGGATCCACATATTTTCTATGAATACCATATAGTGCTACATTTTTTTCCAGTGATGTCAAGAGAAATAATCTCTTTGAGGCTTTTCTGAAAGCTACTCGTCCTGAGTCTAGGCCTGCTTGCAATACTGTATGCTGAAGAAAAGAATTTGTCCAGTGTTCTTCCTAAAAGATAATTGGGCATCATGCTTGGTATTCTTTAAACTTTCACACTACATAGACTAATTATATTTCCCTTTCTCATGGTCTCTTGCAGTGCTACATCTCAAGGTTGAATATGCTTTTTCTGATTACTCCCCTTCTTTTTTTCTTCTCTTTGCCATACTTGGTTCAAGTGGCTGAGCTTGCTGCTGAACAAGAAGGATCTAATGTATATGCACTGATTTCACTTTAATCAATTCTGATGACTCTTACTAGACTGTTTTTTTTTAACTGAGTAAGACGACCTAATCTATGGAAATCTGGACAATTCAGGAGAAAAAACAAAAAACCAGTTTTAGAACAAGACTTCTTCCTGTCCATGAGAAGATTCTGGCATTACTCATGTAGTGGACTCACTCCTAGCACTTCATATACATTATATTGTATATATAATATGTATAATATATATGTATGTATGTATGTATATTGTATATACATACATTGTAGCAAATAGTACTAAGATCTTAAAAAGGACCTGCCACGCTTGCTATCAGTACTAATGTGAACTCACATTAGTATTTGAGTTTTTAAGATAAATTCCAAAATAAGTGCCTTTGCTAAGCCAGTAGATTAATTGTGTTAGTAAAAACAGGTCTAGGCTGCGATCTTGTAGTTTGACTAATTTCACACTTGAGGAAAATTTAAATGCATATATTTTCATTTCATTTTCTACACTCACTTGCTTTGTGATTACTCTGTGTGATGTTGAAAGGGATACAATTGCATCTAAGAAATACATAGAAATTCTGATGAGCATTCTATTAAGATACTATGAATTTATATGTGTGTTCTTTCAGAGCATTTATGCATTATTTAATACAACATTATTAGTTATCAAAAATAGCTTTTAACATGCACATAAAAAAGATGCGCTCCACTAGGGCATTAGTGCAACCAGATGTGAAGTATAGACAGCAGAGATTTCCCACTCCCTATATGAAAAAGTTACTTATTTGAAATCTTACTTATTTGAAGATAAAGGCTATCTTCAGCATGATGTGCTACCCTTTGCAGAATGTTCACACAAAGCTTGCAGAAATGACAGAATGTAACAAGAGAATGTAATCTGTAAAAATAGAGTTAGAGTTTCCTGACTTTCCATAGCTGATATGAATATGTATTGGTGCTCTAAGTCTTTATAAACATTGTAAGTTCTCAAATAGAAAATGTTTTATGACAAGGGCTCAAAAAGCCCAAAAGTTTTGAAGTGAGTACTAATGATGTATAATGATCACTTCAAGTTGATGACCACTGTACATTTGTATACTGAGAACTAAGCATCCTTTGTATGGGCAAAAGTGTCCTTTGACTCATTTTTTTCCATTTCTCTGTCCTGGTGGTTACCTTCCATTTAAATGTAGAAGCTTTGCCAAAATCTTCTTTAAGTTCACTGGAATTTATCCTCTTGAGATGTATTCTTATATCTTTAACACCACCAGATTTCTTTCTTAGTTCTTTGTCTATTTTATGCTGTGCTTCTCTCTCATTTCTATTTTGTAGTTCTTCAGATGGGAAAGCAGCCTTCTTGAGGAACTGAAATAAGAAAAATAGAACTTTACTACCTGAAAGTGAATGTTGAATAGGAGTTTTCCTCCTGCCTAAGTCTCTTTCATAGCTCATTTCTAGATTCTTCTCTACTTCAGTGCTGTAAGGAGGAATTAATTTAATTCAGGATTCAGTCAATTCAGTTAATCTCCTGCCAGTAGCCCTTTTTCTCTTCTCTTTAATTTCACTGTTAATTTAAGATATTATCATGTTGGCACTTATCACCTGTTTTTAGAAACAACTTCTCCCATGGGAGTGGGGAAATATTGGTGGTAGGTGGACAGCTGGACTGGATGATCTTGGAAGTTTTTTCCAACATTTGCGATTCTATGATTATACTAAATTTGGACTTATTATTCTCCACATAGCACTTTGCTGCTCACATAAGTGCAATGCTTTCACCCTGACCATTTACTAAAAAATACTGATAGACGCCTTCTCAGCATTATCTAATTTTATTTAATTTTAAACCATGGAAACTCAAAGACCTGCACCGATACCTGGGGAACACCACTCATGACCAGTTGCCAGCTGGATTTAACTCCATTCACCACCACTCTCTGGGCCTGGCCCTCCAGCCAGCTCCTTCCCCAGCAAAGAGTGTACCCGTCTAAGCCACGGGCTGCGAGCTTCTCCAGGAGAATGCTGTGGGAGACAGTGTTGAAGGCTTTGCTGAAGTTTTGTGTACTTCATCAACATTCTTTCCCTCATCCACCAGGAGAGTCACTAGATCATAGAAGGAGATCAAGTTGGCCAAGCAGGACCTGCCCTTCACGAACCATGTCTGATCCCCACAAATGTCCCCCAAATGCCACGTGATCTCCCTCTAGACAGTCTGCTCCGTAACTTTCCCTGGCACCAAGGTCAGGCTGACAGGCCTGCAGTTCTCCAGATCCTCCTTATGACCCTTCTTGTAGATAGGAGTCACGCTGGCAAGTCTCCAGTCCTCTGGGACATCTCCGGTTGACCAGGAACGCTGATAGATAATGGAAAGCAGCTTGGCTAACACCTCTGTCAGTTCTCTCAGTACTCTTGGATGGATCTCATTCAGCCCCAGGGACTTGTGGCAGTCCAGGTGGAATAGTAGGTCTCTGACTGTTTCCTCTTGAACTGGGTGGGGGTTTATTCCGCTCGTCTAAGGTTTCCAGGTGAAGGAGTAGAGTGCCCTCTATCTGGGATCGCCACAGTCTTCTTGGGACAAGCCCGCTGTCTGTTGGAGATCATGTGTCTCAGAGATTGCCAGAGAGCTGGTCTCAAGTAAAGAGGGACAGCACTTACATGCCCTGCCACTAAACCCACTTCCTGCTGCAGTACCATATGGGCAGCATGTGCTGTGCTCATGCACCGATTACCCCTCCCTATTCTCAGTGAGTAGTGAGACTGCTAACCACGTGTGATCTCCCTAAGGCTGTCCATAGCCTAGCTGCCAAGGATCAAGGTGAAAGGTGGGCAGTGCCAGCTCTACCCCTGTTTGCTGAGCAGTCTGCGCACAAGCTGCCAACCCCCAGCACAAGCACAGTACTTGTGCTGGCTTCAAAAAGCCCGAAAAAAGAGCTTTCTTGTTGCTCTTTTTGCTTCAGATCCTTTGCAGTCTTACCTGTTCTGTCCTTTCACGGATAATTCTGCAAGTAATGAAAGAAACTGTGATCTTCCTGAGCAACGGATCTTGACTGTGTATTTCCATTCCTGTTGATGAAGTTTCATGTCTTATTATGTAAGGGATGTAGACTTCTCCATTATGAATTATCATAGCATTTTCCTTAAATGGAATTTTCACTTTCTTTCCAATAGGGCTAATAGATGAAAGTGGTAAAATATTCTTATAATCCTTATTCTCAGCATTAGCCAATGATCTCAGAATTCCTGAAACAACAGTATTGGAAGACTTTAAAATAAGAGGATATGATTTTGTTGTCTTGCTGCTGTGTTCTCCTTGTACGGGCTGTTTCACTGGGGTTACTTGGGAACACGTTACATCTTCAGTTACTACATCAGGACTAGAGCAGCGCCTTGCTATGTTTGGGCTGTTTGATATTAAGGAATTTGGAAGTCTGCCCCAGGAGCATTTGCAAGCCTCTCCTATCTTTAATACTGGCCAAATATAAGTAACAGTTGGTATTTCTGTAGCCTCCCTTACTTCAGAGACGTGTTTAATTCTGGTAGATATCAGTTGCTGCATTATAGGTGAGAAACAAGAAAGTGGTACTGATATGACTTGGGCTTGAGGTGGTATCTCTAGATTGTAGTTTAAAATCTGTGCTTCAGGTTCTTTGCTAACTTTAAGATTTTCAGAAATTCCTGAAACCGATGCTGTGTCAACATGAGTAAATGAGAGGCATTTCTGCATATGCAGCTTTTTAGCTGAACTCTCATTTCTCTGCATATTAAAAACCGTTGAGGAGAACTTCTTTTCTGTCAGTAGAGGTCATGCCAACATTTTCTATTACATCAAAACTTTTAGTAGAGAAATTTTCTTCACTTGCTGATACTCCAGCATCAGAGCAGATTTGTTACTATTACTGGCAATGAAAAAGCATTATGTTTTTGAAAATGCATTCAATGCAGACAGATGAGCTACCACGATCAGGGAGTCATATACACTGGTAAGACTTCCAGACGAAAGAGAATGCAGAAGATTTTTCAGTAGGTCTCATCCATCTTCATGTATTTCCTGAAGGACTTTATGTCAGTCTAACAAACTTAAAATAAAAATTGAAATGAATTAAAACAGGATTATATATTTGTGAATGCATAGAAAGTGATTTTTTTTCTACTTGGCTGTCATATGATATGTCATTCTAAAATAAAATTTAAAAACAGAAATATATTTGTGATTTAAGTCTTAACTAAAGCTTATCTAGACAGGATTTTTTCTACAATAATCATAATAATTCTTCTAAGACACTTCCAAATCATTAATGAAATGAGCAGTGACTTTCTGCTGCTTTCAGTATGAGTTAGATTTTACCCAATACTGCAAACTGCTGGTTGACAGGATGTGTTTTGTTTAGATGAAACACTCCTTCATATCATACAGTCTTATGTGCAATGCCATTAAAAAACACATATCTAACAAAACTGGTCTTGATCAAAGACCTGCAGACTTTTTTTTTTTTTTTTTTTTTTTACCTTCCTTGCAGAATTAATTGACATCAGCAGTTAGTTCCAGCCTACAGCAGCCTCCGCTTCACAGAATAAGACCCAGTAGCTCTGCAATGGTTTTAATAAAGACAAGAAATCAAGTACCTGGTTGAGCCTATCATAGAAGGAAAGATGAAATATAAATTTGCATGGCAAGAAAGGCAAACATTCTGAGAAGGATTAAAACCAAACTAATTTTGAATTTTCTGATTGTATTCCAGTGCCTATGTTCTCTCAGGAGTAGCCTACTTAGCACTACAGACATGATTTTGTGGAAAGTAAACATAAATATGCACTTTTTCTGCACATCAATCACACAATTCAAATGCTTCTTATCCTTCCTGATTATTAAAAAAAAAAAAAAAGCTGAATTCTCTCCTCCATAACTGAAGGGGTTCTACTACTTTACTAACAGCAACAAATGTAGTAAGGACAGTAATTTTTCTCTTAAAAGTTCTGTGATCCTCTTCTTAGGGATCACATAAATGAACCTTCCTTTTAACTAGAAAAAATGAATAAATTGAATAATGATGTTTCTTCACCTTCTAGGTTGTGCCTCCTGAATTTAGGATGCATAGATCTTGATGTAATCACATAATTCCTAACTGTAATCATTTTTTATTAGAAATAGTTATATTAATTGTCAACAAATTATTTGAATAATTGATTGCATGTGTGAGGATAGCACTGCATGTAATGAGACAAGCTATGGTCTTCCTAGAGCAGCATACTGTGGGAGTGTATTTCCATTTCTGGTGATAGAGCTTCATGCAGATTTTTCTGCAGAAAAATTATGCGGGTTAGATAAGTTTCATTTAATACTTAAATCAAAGATGAGTGAGGCTCTCAGTAAAAGCTGGAAGTAAATCCAGTTTTTTTCCTTTCTTTCCTCCCAAGAGTGTTCTTTTGTTTTGTTTGTTTTTCCACTTCTGGATTTACAGATTCTCTCTGCGTTCAAAATTACAACATAATCAAGCTATGACAGGTCACCTGCCCTAGGAAGCCTGTTACTGGCTTCTGCATTTGTCTTTGCATTCTTTTCATTGGCTGTTAGTATTGCTCCATTAAGTATTCATCTTCTATTGTGCAGCCACCACTTTAGCAATTCCTGCGTAATGAGAAACTTACTATTTTCTTCCCATCAATGGGACAGCTTCTCCAATACCTTTAAACAAATATGAACCACGAAAAAAAAAAATCCCCAAGGTTGTGAATTTTAAAAAACAGCCTCAGGAACCCAGACACAGCAATTCAACTGAGAAAAAAAAAAAAAAAAAAAAAAAAGGAAAGAAGAAAGGCTTGTGGTTTTGAGACAAAGAAATCCTGGTTAACTGTGAAAACAGCTGAAGGAGACTAAGATATGGCTGTAGAAGAGAAAGAATTTTTGTTTTGCAGAAGACATAACTGCTGTTTGATGTTGTGATATGGTTTGCTGTCACAATCTTAGCTTTTGCTCTCTAGAGTCTTACCTGTTATTAAAAGACTTTCTATAGGTAACTGTCACCGTCAAACAAATCCCACCACAAACACAGAAAAGGACACAAAATTTGCTTTCTCAGTCTTCGTGTTGTAGGAGAGCTTTCTGAGCTCATTGACTGCCAAGGAGGCTCAGAGAGGCATGAAATTCCCCGTTATTCTTGCAGGTGACCAAAAGCTTTGTGTCAGCACTGTTCAATTCGTTTAATTTCTCCTGCCAGCAGATGCAGACTAGTGCACTTTGTGCCATTACCAGTGAAGAGTGCAGGGGATACATAATTTTGCTGTGTTCACCATAGAGGTGTCAAGCACTTTATAGACTGCAAGGGAATGCAGCCCATCTCTGACAAATCTCCACTGTGCTAGAAGCTTAACTTGTGGCCTGTGGGCGAGGTGTGATTCACTAGAACAATTATTTTGGCCTGTAACCATCTCTTGGTACCTTCATTCCTGTGGGCCATGAAGGAGCAAGAGGTACATCAATAAAAAAATGTTTGTTAACATTTAGCATTACACTCCCAGCCACCATCTTCCTGAGGAAATTCAGGATGTATGTACATATGTGCAGTATGTGCTAAATGTGATAGTCATAAGAAGCCTGATAGTCATAGGAATGTCTGACCTAGGCAAGTCTGCAGGCACCAATTTTTCAGTCATCTTGGGAATGTTAATCTCTCCCTTTGCCTTTAGAAGACATTTTTTGGCCAGAAAATTTGGGCATCACTTCTCTGTTCTCATAATATAAAAAAGCAAAAATTTAGGGGCTTTGACTATGGTAAATCTGAAACAAGACAACTCTAACAATCCCACATATGACTGAAGACTGTGGTAATATAAGTATTACATAAATTAGTAGTCTTCAGTACCAGCCCTTTACCATGCACAGCAACCTGCGGACTGTGCTTATCCATCAGTGCTGGACAAACCAAAGAGTTACAAATCCAGCTGAGTCAGTATCGACTTTAAATAACAGCAATCACACTGATGAAAAATGTATTCTGCCTAACAGTTTTGACAGTGTATATCCTGTCGTACAGCAATGATGGCAGTTGTGTAATTTTGTTAGTCCTTAAATTCAAGGGATTACTATTTGCGTCATGAATCCCAAGGTCCTCTGATTTTAAAAAAGAACAATGATATTCACATACCTGAAGATGTCCTTGTTTGCACACAGAAAAAAACTGTATGAATTTGTATTTTCTCCCTCCACCTTAAAACCAACTAACAGCAAATAGAGCTTCAGACTTAGGAAATAAGCAGCACAGATTACCTTACTACTTCTAGCTTATGTATACAAATCTTTTCCATCTGAAATGATATTACAATATAGATTTTACAGATCACTCACCAGTGCTCTGGCTTAATCAGAGATGAAGACAGCAGAAGTTTTAAGAGTACATGACTTACAAAAATACTAAAAATACTTCTTATTTTTTCATATGTTCACAAGAATATTACAACCATGAACTTATGGAATTGTTTATGTTCTAATTAATTCTAATTAGATTTCCATTTGCAAATCTTTGGCTTGGCGTCTTAGCTTAGTTATAAGGTCTGTTATAAATGTTTCTTGTCTTATTCTTAGCAACAGTTCAAGGAGGATTCCAAGGTAATTCCCGAGAAAAATGTGGATTTCCTGAAATACAAGCATGACTGTTGCTGCCATGGCATGGACTAGTTTGGCCTGGATTACCTATAACATCTAGGCAAAATCCATTTCATGTGTTATATCAAAACACATTATCTTAGTTAAGTACCCTTATTTCAACATTAGCTCTACATGGAAGGGTCATTTTATGAGGCTTCCAGGATTTCAGGATGTGTTACAAAAGCCAAATACAACACAGATCACTAGTTCTGCAACACGGTTTAACACACATAATTCCTTCCCTTTTTCAACAGCTGACCCACATGCTGTCATAAGTACAGTGATGTTCAGAGACAGCAATTTTGAGAGTTACTAAAATAGAGAAATGTTTTGTTGTAAGGCCACTATTGTAACAGTTCTTAGAGTTTTTCATGTGTTGGGCAAATAATTTAGGTGATGTACTGTTTTCTGAGAAGCAAGCATTAGTTTTTCAGTTTGGAACCCAAAAAGCAAGTATATTTTGCTGTTAGCAATCTCTCTGCCAGGAACTGAATGTTAATAGTATATGTAAATTGTAATGGGAAAACATCAGTGAGTCAAAGCCTTAGCTGGCCTTCCATCCTACCTCAGAAGACTGCGAAGACATTTTCATCGTTTACGTATCACCCACAACCCTGCTGCCCAGCCATTTAGCCTCTTGCAGTCAAGGTTCCCCTCTCTGGCTCCTTAAGCAAGGCCACAACTCTGGCACAGAAACTTGTATTAAGCTTCACAGCAAGTTATTTTAAGAATAAAAATCAGCTCACCCCTTCTCAAAATCAGTAACAGCTTGAGAGGAATACAAACTCTATCCAGAGAGATACTGCTTCCTCTGCTACTAACCCTGAAATGAGAGTGAGGAGAGATGGATCCAGGTTCCACCCCTTCCAGTCACTCAGATGCATGGCTTGCTCCTGAGCTTCCTGGGTTGGACATGTCTTCTCACCTGGTGCTCAACCATTGCTTCAGGCTGTGGCCTGGCAATTCCACTGCACACATATAGTGTGAGGACATCAAATATAATTTATTTACAGCTAAGTAGCACTTGTGAATATTTAAAAGACCTAAATATTCACTTCATAAAATGCCCCACCCTGCTGCTGTTTGCTGCTTTGCACTAGTCCTGACATAGAGGGTTAATTATACTGCTAGCTCACAGTGGGATCAAGGGCCCTTCTAGCACAGTCCTTGACAGCAGCCAGAGGTGAATGGTCCACAAGAATTACGGAGCACATGGTGATACCCTCTTGAATAACCCCACCACCCAACAGCTGCGGCCACAGGGCCTTTCAGAGGCAGTTAATTTCCTGCTAGAATGGAGCCCTGCTGTGCAACACTGCCCACAATCCACCACAGCTTCTGACCTTCATTTGGGCCTGGCTGGGTCAGATACAGCTATGAAACCTCCTCAAGTTCACAGTTTTGGAGACAAATTTTTAAATTGCTTGGACAAAGTCTAGCCTTCCCCAGTAAGGCCTAGCAGCTGCAGTGGCCTGGGCCCAGCCAAAGACAGCATGGGGCTGTGCAGCCTGGTTACCTTTACAGGAGCAGCACAGTGCTCGAGGAAGAAGACTCGGCCTCTGTGGAAACTACCACCTGCACAGAACCTTTCAGAGCCAGGGAGCTGCGAGCACTACTGGCTGCAGATTAACGGCTGTCTGCTTCAACAGTCTTTCCAGCACCAGAGGCTCTTGGGCCCAACCAGTGCTATTGCCATTGCCCACAATCACTCAGGGTGGTTCACAGCATGAGGCAGAGGCACCCAGGGACCACCCCTCCCAGCCCTTATTCTGTGTCCTGTGTGGCTGTATCTGCCCTGTTTGCCCACATGGCCTCCTTTCTCCTGTGCTTGCTGTCTGTTGGTGCCACAGAGACTGCAGTGTCCCTGTACTTGGCTTGCTTGGCCTCCACAGGACCACAGCACTAGAATTCCCATACTAATCTTATGTTAACAAATACAATGTAACCCTGAACATATTCAGACCGCCTCCCGGCCTGGCCCAGCTCCCTGCAGCTGTTAAACCTCCCTGGGAAGGCTAACTGTCTGCAGGTGAGAGAGAGAGCACACCACCTGGGAGTGGTACACTGCAGCATGAATCTGGAGAAGAGGCAGATTTCTGATTGGCTTAACGATGCCCACAGCTGTGTAATTTCACTTTCTTCCACAGCAGCAAGATCACCTAAGTCCTGGTGATCCTGTGGAGCTGAATTGAAGCTGAAAACCCATAAGCTGCCTATGACTCAGCTGCCACCGGTTGGAGGCTCAGAGCAACCAATGCACTATGAGGAAAAAGGGCTGCCAACACACAAGACTTAGACAGACAGTTGTTACTTCTATTTGACTCCTAGCATGATGTGCTCTGAAATAGCCTACAGTTTTAGAAGGTGCTGGAAATGAGTAAGCTATTTTATTGTTCTTGTCCAGTTAGCTGCTTCTCTTAGAAATCTCTCCACAGAGCAGTGTTATGGTTTACCCTGGAAGGCAGCTCAGCAACGTGTAGCCATTTGTTCACCCCCTCCAGCAGCGAAACGCAGGAGCGAGTTGAAATAAAGATGTAGAACCTGCGGGCTGACGTCAAAATTATTTACTAAGAAAAGGAAAAATAATAGTAATGATGACTACTATATATATTAATATATACAGTATACATATGTATTTACCAAAGACGTGATGTGCAAAGCAATTGCTCACTACTCACCAACCAATACCCAGCTAGTCCCCTGCAGCCAACTCTCCCAGTTTTATTGTTCATGTGGACTGTCTCTTTGGCCAGCTCATGTCAGCTGTCCAAGTTTAGTTCCCTCTGAGCTCCTTGTGCCCCCACGATATCCTGCTGGCAGGACCGTGTGAGAAACAGAAAAGACCTTGACTCTGTGTAAGCAGTGCTCAGTAACAACTAAAACATCAGTGTGTTACCCATGTTATTTTTCTCCTAAATCCAAAACAGCATTGTACCAGCCACTAGGAAAAATAATAACTCTAGCCCAGCCAAAACTAGGACAAGGAGAGTCAGACATTTTATTTTGCTCTAGTCAGTGAAATAAAGCTAGAGAGATACAAAACAGACATAAAGTAGCTAAGCAAGACGCATCATGAAGATAACTACCTGGTGCTCTGAGTTTGAAAGACTGGTCACCTTCACTGAATTTCTCTAGCATTATGTTAAATTCAACTAATATATGAATTTCCTGAGATTGTTCACTGTCAACCACCATCTGCCAACAATTTTTATATTTAGTCAGAGGACAAGTTTCAGAACCGTTGTGTGAGATGAACACCAGCTGCTTCTTGCTTCCCACAGCTGTAAGGCTGCTGACGTTCAATATTTGTTCTCTGTTAGTGTCTACGGATGCCTCAGAAATCAAGGCCACTTCCAGTCAGGCAATAAAAAATATAGTCCTTGCTCCAGAGATCTTATCAAGCAGAAACTTCAGTAAGAGAATAAGGACTTTTTTTCCCTCTTCTGCTGACCTACAGAATTTTGCTGAAATGATGCCCTTTTGGGGATACAAGCAGATGCAAGAAGCATAAAGAGACATATGTGATTCTAGAACAGATAACTTCTTTATTGTGGGCAAACATAGGAATCACCCTAACCTTCAGCATTGTCTCTGAGTGTGACAAGATATTCAGTGTTAGCCTCTTACGTGCCTATCAGCAGATTTGGTGAGAAACAGAAGATGTAATAGAAGGCAAGAGGTGAGCTGAAGGACAAGGCAAAAAGCAAAGTCAATCACTTACAATTTTGCTCTTCCCTCTCTTCGTCCTACCAGCTTCTTTGTGTGAGCTGGGAGACAATGTAAGTAAGGAAAGAAAAGCACTCTGGCTGACTGTGATGTGCCCACCTACAGCTTTCAATAAGAAGTATTTTAGGGAAGATAAGAGCTGTGGTGCAGCCTGACACAGAAGGGGATAAAAAGATGTTAACCCTAACTAGTGACATCTAACCAGGCATGACAAAGGCAGGGGGTTTTCAGACTATGTACGCATGTGTGCTAGTGGGTGGGAAGGGAGGAATGTCAGGCAACATTTTCTGTACAAAACACCATTTTAAAAAAGAGTAGTTGACCTTATTGTTTCAGAACTTTCCCTACCTCTCAGTTGGTGAACTTACCTTTTGTTAGGTTAGCAGAAACTCAGGGCCCTTCCTCTGGCATTGCTTTTTCTTACATCCTACAAATTTTGTTTTCTGGTACTACTTAAAGCTCAGTCTAGTCAGTCACACATCAGAAAGGAAGACGTGGCATCAGGTTGGCTGGGAAGTTGCTTCTAGCATTTGGAAATTGCTTCTCTGTATTAATCTTGCCTTATGCTCCTTGGCCACAGCTATTGGTACCTATTCCCTTGTAGTTACTCATAACCTTATGTCTTTGCCAAAAATTGACTATAAGAAGAAGGAAGGAAACATCTGAATTTTCTCTGATGCAATTCTATGATTCTGCCCTTCTGGTATGAAGAACCAGCAGGCTGTATTCCTTACCAGCTTACAGCTTGGAGAGAAGGAAAGAGGCTTCATTAACAACTCTCTATCTGCCTTATTCACACTGAGTTGGAACTTGCTAATTAGTTAGGAAATAGTTCAGTGATAGAGCATGTCACAGACACTGAGTAGATGTTACACTTAATCTTGATTAATTTTTTTTTTCTACACAACTGTTTTCTTTAAATACCTAGGGAAAGATTCCAATTTCAGTGGGTTCTGGACCAAGTCCTAATATATCAATTCTTGCTAATAATATACCCATGTTTATTTATCCATTTCAGATGTTGATTTGTGACATATAAATAAGATATAGTGCACCAATTTTGGATAGAGGTGATCTGAAATAAATCCTGACTTGGAGCAGCCCTCTAATTAACACACATACATACATACATACACGCACACACAAAAAAAAAAAGAGGGGTTGAAAGCAGCAGTTATTGAGGATGTATGAATTTAACCAGAGGAAGAGTTCTTTTCATACTGCTCTTCAGTTCAGTGGAAAAGTTTCCTTGCCACACCACAATACTTCTCCAGCTCTACATCTAGCAACTTAACAAAAGCATTTTGCTTCAACTCTGGTTCTCAAGGTACCCAATTACCTATAGGCACACCTGCAGTCAACAGATTATCCATCTGATAGGTTGCAGCTGACATAGCCAAGACAAGCTCATTAGCTAATGTACCACATTGTTCTGTACAATTACTACCAGCGAAGCACAGCTCCACAGATTTCATACCCTCATGCCTTAGAATGAGAAGTTCTGGGGGACATAGCATAGATGCAGTTGTGAGCTTGACAGGAATCTGCCAAAATCTGCACAGCCCCTAGTAAACTGTGGTTTTACTGTTTCCTCAACTAAGGGCCTGGCAAAAAGCTGCAGTCCACAGTGCAGACAATGAGGTGAATGAGCTCCGTTGGATGAGAGCTCTGCTGAGCAAGCTGCCTTGAGCAGCTCATCCATCTCAGCACATCCTTCTAATCTGCGCTACCAGGATTTTCTTCCTTTACCGTGGGTATCCGAACTCTACGCTCCAGGTAAGAGGAATTCGTCGCTTTTCTTGGGAAGCGCAATTTGCAGTGCTGCCAGCAGATGGCACAAGATAGTCAACGGTCTGCCTGCGGGGTAGCGTGAAATGGATTTCTTTGTCAAAATGTCTGGCTAGTTTCTGCTTCGTAGCATTGCCAAGTGCGTCCTCGGCAAAAAGAGAGGTATTGCAGCATTCCTATGTGGTAGTGCTAGTGCAGTAGTGTAGTAATCACTGTAAGTAGTAATACTGCTTTATGCGCACCAAAAAAGACTAAATATGCATTGGTGATATCTAGGTGATAGGAAATGCTAAGGAAATGTTATTGAAATGCCAGCTCTCTTGGGAACAATAGAGTAATAGAAGAACTCTTGCTCATGTCAGAGAGAGGAATTATCAACAGCTAGGATCACATGCAATTAAAAAGAGAGAGAGAAAGAAAAAAAAAAGCAGTCTTCTGGCAGTTAAACAGGAAACAGTGACATATCAAATAAGGGCTCTTAAATGTAAAAATGCATTAATGCAGCTGTGTGTGCAATCTAACGGTACCAAGCAAAGCACAGCCTGTAGTTCTGTCTAGTGAGGCAGAATTAACTTGATCTCATGCTTCCATACCTCTTCCAGAGCTGGATGGATTGATTTCACTCAAATAGCTACCTTTTTAAGTGGCTCCAATTATTTTGGGTCTTCACTGATGCCTATTCCTAACTGATTTTACCTGACTACATGCACTCCAGGGATCTAGTTTTTTTTATGGTCAGTAGCTCCAACACTAAAGATGAAGGAATTACCACTCACGCTGGCAGATTTTCTGGTCTGTACTTGGCCCTGAACAGACACTGCTTTCCACTTTTCTTAATAGTAAATGTAGCTTCTTATTCTTGGGCACAATAGCACAGCAGGATTCAGAACCATACAGGAGCATGGACTGAGCTAAGAACTGTTGCAAACTCACCTGTAGCCTGGCACACTGCGGTGCTTTGCTCCATCTGCACAGTATGATCTCAGTATGATCTCTAACCTCAGGCACAGCTATACAGAAGTTCTCAAGACAAATAAAAACTAGAACGGGAAGAAACTGGGGAAAAGGGAGAACAGGGCAGTTGAGGATGGACTGTTGCTAGCAGTTGCCACGCTTGAATGGGACTGCTGTACCTGCAATCCTCATTATTTATCATGTCTGGGAGCCCCGTAATCTGGCTCTGTTCTAAGTTATTTCCCAGTCAGCTATGGACAACTTGCTCATGTAACAGTGCTTAAACCTTTAATGTTTCACCAGCAACTGAATTCAGAGGTATTTCAGCACTGAAGCTATTACTGCCTGAGCATCTGGCTCCTACAAAAGACAGACTACAGCATAACAGGAAAGACAAACAGCTATTACCAGCCTGTCATCTGCAGTGCCAGTGCTGACATCAAGATTATTTTGGCCTCAGAGAGCACAGGGAGGTAAGGGATTTCAAAATTCAGCAACAAGTACAAAGATAAAAGGCCCATAAAGGCCCATAAAGCTGGCTTTGTACCTTCGCACTTCCACCCAGCTGAAATACGACGACTACATGATTGGATTGGAAAAACCACAGGTACAAGAGGGAAAAGTTACGCCCAAACACAGAGAAGTTCAAGTCTGGACTTGCAGAGCTGAGAAGAAAGCAAGTACCCTGAGTAATATTTCCTTGTAACATAATGCCATCTGCTGGGATTTGCTTTTAACAGATGAGGTAGTTCAAATAACTTGGGACAAATGAGTCCACAGGGCTAGAAGACATGCTGTATCACAGCCAGAGTAGCGCAGACAGAATACAATCATATTGTCAGCTAGCAGCAATGTTTGTATGAAATAGAAGCAATTTTTAGAGATTTTTCACTTCTTACTGCCTAATATTTGCCACTATGTATGACAGTATACATCCTACACTATGCACACGCAGGCTGTTACTGCTGTAAGCTTCTCCCTCTGCAGTAAAAAACTGAAGTTGTTGTGTTGTGACAGGGTAAATGAAGCTTGCATGGTTATTCTGCATTAAGTGCAGCAGGTTGCCTAACAACCTGCTTCCCCAAGGACTAAC